GATCACAACGTCACTTTCACGCTTTCATCTCACCGCTTCTCTTCTCTTTCACGTTACCATCTCCTCTGTTTTTCGTTTCCAAAACAGAGCACCTTCTCATCATCTTCTAGCTTCCGCCTCTCTATCAACATCCATCCCCGTAAAAATGGAATACTATCTTTTTGTATTTTTGATTTTTCTCATCCCAGTAAAACGGTAAAAGTGAAGTATCTATTTGACCATATCATATGAAACCCCAAGTGTATGACTCCACTAATCATAGAACGCCAAGTGTCCACATGCGGACGGAGTCTTTTTAAGACTAGTGCTTGTTTTTTTTGTGTTAATATGTTCAAATGGCTTTAATCAAATGAAAGTACTGTACGTGAGACAACCATTTATTTAGTCCCAAAAAATAATGTGATTGTATATAACAAAAGAAAGTCAAAGCTGTTGTTACAATCAACGTTGTAACAGTCTAACAGATGATTAAAAACAATCAACAAAAGTCTGAAATTTTGAATGACGAGAAATAGATAATCGATCATCCATGGTGAGCCACAAACTTTTCATGAAATTGTTATGCGAAAGCTAAACAATAAAATGAAGATTTTTTTTTCCATAGAAACTCCAAATTCCAAGATTTGATTAGCTTGTGGATTGGTCATCATATATCGTCGCTCTTCTCTTTGTGGATCACATAGATATAAGACACCACGCTAAGAGCAGCGGCGCCTAAGGCGATTCCTCTAAAGACATCGAAATGATCGTACTTGTCATAAAAACAAACCACCAGAAGCGAAACGATCGGCCACGTACAGACGCTGATCACGTTCGAGAACACTGCCGAGACAGCGAACACGAGCCCCACGATCCCGACCCAGTATATCTGCCATGCAACGGCTTGACCCACCATAGTAATCACGTAGGCAATCTCTCCCTTCGTGAACCTATCCATCTCTTTCTTCATATTGTGATGTTCACCGGAGATGAGAACGGCTGCGACTAAGATGATGGTTGTGACGAGAGACAAGAAGATGATCAACTCAAGAACGACGACGAAACTGGGTTGTTTTCTGTTGGTGGATGTGTTGCAAACAGAGATAAGTTCCTCGAATACCTGCCTGATAACGCAGAGGAGGAAGGAGAAAAAGGCGGCAGCGCAGAAAGCCACATAGATAGTTCCCCATTTGTTGGATTTCTTCCAGCTGTCGTAGATGGGTGACCCGGCGGAGAAAGTGTAGAGAGTGAAAGCGCCAGCGAGGACGGCTAAGATGAGAGAGATAATCATCCATCTATTGAATTTGATTTTGTTGTAACACTTGGATAAAATCAGGGTGAATAAGAGCTGCGTCGTGTAGATGAGAGTGAAAACTCTAAAGGGTATCTGGTTTCTAACGTTGAAGAAAAATGCTTGACAAAACATGTAGATGCAGAGACAAGAGTAAGTTATGGCTAATTGCTTGAGGGAGATTCCACCGGAGAAAATGAGAAGTTGTTTCTGTTTCTTGATGAGGAAGTGGAGAAGGAAAGGGAAGAGGAGGATGGGGAATCCGACGACCTGGAGAAGTGGTTGAGTCAAGATACCGCGACGGCGGCTCCGGTTTCTGTGCAGGAAGTAATAGTTCTCGAGGAGTCTGGCGACGCATTGCCCTGTTACGGCCAAGATGGTGCATATGATGATGGTAACCCACTTGTTACGTCTCTGATTCGATTCACTGGTTAAGCTGATCGGTGTGGTTAGGCGGTGCTCGATATTGAGCGGTATTTGCACAAAATGTTCTACAAAGAGAAAACAATATTATGAATGGCTTACCAGTTTGTGACAAGGGAATGAGACAGAACAATCGGCCTACCTTGTGGATTGGACTGCATTGGTTGATTATGTCCCATGATATTTCTTGAGTTCTTAGAGCCTGGAAGCGAATGGTCCAAAGATATGTTCTTCGATTCTGTTTTTAGGGAATCTAGGAAAATGGTGTTTGTCTCTTATAGCCAAGCGCAATGGGTTTTGGGGTGGACTTTGACGGAGTTGTAAGGGTTTTGCCTAGTTGAGCAAATGGGTTTTAATTACTATTTGCAGACATATTCACAAGTAAAAGACCAAGTACAGATGAAATGACTTTGTCATTTGACTTTAATCTATATAGAAAAAGACAAGCTTAGTCTAATAATGCTTCTGCTTGTTCTAATTTCGATCGATAGAAGTATTCAACTTCCAAAGTTTTGGAATAGGAAGGCAATCATTTTTTATGGCAAAGAAACAACTCGTGTACATATTCTTCGTAACAAACACTTTTTTTTTGTATGATAGTAAATTATATTCACCAAAAAACCTTTGTTACACATAACAGTGAAAATTATTAATATTATTTAAAAATGAGTTTAAGTGTTAATTATCTATTACGTGAAAACATGCCGAACTTCGAACACCAAATCTTACGGACCAATTAAGGACGGGATGCCTAGGCGCGGTTAGTTTTCGACGTTTTTAAAATTGAACACTTAAACTAATTTTTAAAAGTAATAATGAAATTCACATGGGTTTAGTTAAAAACATTAATTATTTTCTTAAAGTTTAAGTGTTAAATTTGTTTTAAATTTTAGTGAAGATCATTATTATTTTTAAAAAATAAGTTTAAGTGTTAAATCTATATTACGTGAAAACATACTGAACTTCGAACACTAAAGCTTACGGACCAACTAAGAACGGGATGCCTAGGCGCGGTTTGTTTTCGACGTTTTTAAAATTGAACACTTAAACTAATTAAAAAAAAATAATAATGAAATTCACATGGTTTTAGTTAAAAATATTAATTGTTTTCTTAAAGTGTAAGTGTTAAATTTGTTTTAAATTTTAGTGAAAATCATTATTATATTTTAAAAATAAGTTTAAGTGTTAAATTCTATATTACGTGAAAACATGCCTAACTTCGAACACCAAAGCTTACGGACCAATTAAGGACGGGATGCCTAGGCGCGGTTAGTTTTCGACGTTTTTTAAAATTGAACACTTAATCTAATTTTTAAAAAGTAATAACGAAATTCACATGGGTTTAGTTAAAAACATTAATTATTTTCTTAAAGTTTAAGTGTTAACTTTTTTAAAAATTTTAGTGTAGATCATTATTATTTTTTAAAAATGAGTTTAAGTGTTAAATCTATATTACGTGAAAACATGCCGAACTTCGAACACCAAAACTTACGGACCAATTAAGGACGGGATGCCTAGGCGCGGTTAGTTTTCGACGTTTTTAAAATTGAACACTTAAACTACTTATTAAAAAATTCAAAAGATTTATTTATTTAAATTTTTTAGTGAAAATTTTAAATTAATTAGTTCTAGTTTTACTTAAAATAATTTTTAAAAGAAATAAAAACAAAAATAAGAATGAAAAAAATAATGTACCTTGCTGGAAGTGGTAGCAAAGAAAGTCCATAAAAAAGCCCATTCGAAGCCCACACTTAACAAAAAGTCCCAACACTTGCACTGCTCTCTCTAGCCCTGAATGAGCTGCGCAAAGAGCGTAAAGAGCCGTCGCTGATTCCTTTCTCTCCCTATCATTCCTTACCCGGAGAAGAGAAACAAGAGCAGAAATTGCATCAGGGTACGATCCAATAGTGGCTTTATTCACTTCAACAACAGCTAAACTCGTTGACAGCAATCGCTTTACAATCCGGTGACCCGACCCGTAAAACAGCAACAATCCGTCTTATCACTCCATCAGCAACTAAACCCACGTTGTTATCATCTTCTAAACGAAGATTCAAAAGCAAAGTCAGCGACTTTTGTTGGTCATCGTCGTCACTCGAAAAAGAAATAGATGAAAGATGGACAGATTTTGGTTTTCGTTTCTCGGAGAAGAAGGAGAATAGAGAATTTTGATTTCTCAATAAAGAAGAAGAGAATACTAAAGAAGAAGAGAATGCGTGAGTGTTTATATAAGCAAAAGGTTTCTGTTTTTTCAATAGCACAGAAAAAAGGAAATTTCGATGATAAATTTCCTTTTTCTAAGTTTTAGTATCACAAAAAGGAAATTTCCTTTTTTTCCAAGGTTGAGTATTTTCGTTTTGCTTGTTTCCTTTTTTCTTAATAATTTCCTGTTTTTAGATAACGTTTACAAGACAAATGATTTCCTCATGTTGTTTAAGGAATTGTCTCTGATTGATATTGGTCAATGCATTTGCAGATATACGTGCTAGACTCACAGGATTTGTAAAGCCAAGCAAGAATTTCAGCTACCTTTGGGTAAATTTAGTCTCTGCTGTGTTTCTATAACCTCTGCTTATTGATTTCTTCAAGAGATCATAAGCATGCTCAACAGTGTCATTCTAGTGTTTGCAAACAAACAAGACATGGTAAGAGTTGTACATAGCTCTAGCTTTCCTTATTTGATGTGTTTTCTTTCTCGTTTACCAATATTCATTCAAACGCTTTATGAATCTCAGAGAGGACCCATGTCTCCTCGAAGAGCTTGGCTTACTTGATCTCAAGAGCAGGAAATGGCATATCCAAGCCACATGTGCTCTTCAGGGAGATGGGCTCTATGAAGGCTTACACTGGTTACCCGCTCATGGTGTATCCTGTCTATTCACCATTATATATATACTTTAGATCCTTGGCCTAAGTCTTCTTCTTGGCCACTGAACAAAATGAAAATCTCTCAAGACTTTTGTAATGCAAGTGTTTTTGTTTTTCTTTTGTCTTCACATGGCTCTGCTTCTGGAATCTAATGTTAGTATCAACTAGGCTCCTTTTTTGCATAATATGACTTTGGCGCTTCACTGTAAATTCTCAAGGGATTTATCAAAGTGTCCCTTAAAGCTATGATAGATGATTGATCTTTTCAAGTCTGTGTCATGAGGTGCTAAAAGCGATGAAAGAAGAATGGTTTGGTTGGCGTTTTGAGGAGCTCGTCGTGGACAATCCTGATTATTTCTCTGTTATATCAAAGCCAATGGATTTCGTCACTATCAACTCCAAACTCGCCAAGAATCTCTATGTAAATACTGTACAAGAGTTTCCAGAAGATGTTTGATTATTCTTCGCCAACGCGGTGCGCTATTATCCTCCTGAGAATCCGCTTCACAAGAAAGCTAAGAAGCTTAAGGAGATTTTCAAGTACCATAAGCCTATAGACGAAGCAACAAACACTACTTGGTCTCTATATGAGTCGTAGCAGTCTTGACATCCCCTAATTCAGTGAACATCTCTTTCTACTTCTCAAAACTCAGTCTATGAAGAATTGTTGACATAGCAAGTAATCTAGGCTTTCACTGTGAATGCTAACTCAAGTAAACCACAACATTGTTGTGATCAATCCAGCTATAAATCCTATCAAAACCCTCAAAACATCTACAAATTCATAACACCAAAATCACCCTAATTTACAAACCAATTACACTTTCACAACTTTGCAGTTTTTCATAAGTTTCGTATATTCAATTACTGACAAAGCTCAATATAGCAAACGCAGAGAGAGATTCAGATTCTATGTACACATACTAAGACGACGAAGGAAACACATCTTTAACAGCAGAAGCAGCAGTCAAATAATTAAGTGTATTCCTCAACGTCTCTCTTTCTCTCTTTAACCTAGCCGCAGTATCTTCAAGCTCAAGCAACGCTTGCTGCTCTCTAGGAGCTCCTTCAAACGTACTTCCGACGAAGAACGAGAACGGCGTCGGAAACTGATTCCTCCTCAAATCTTGAACTTCTTTCTCAGCCTTCCCATTCAATCTATTCGATAACCGAATCACTTCTTTCATCAGCACTTCGACTTCATTCGCTAACGAATCAAGATTCTCTTCACCGGAAGGACGATCTTCAAGCCACGTAACTTCTCCAACAAGGTAAGGTTTCGTACGGACAACATTCGTGACTCGGAATCGTTCTTGACCTTTGCAGATTAAAAAGAATCGATCATCAACAAGACGCTCGTGTTTCACGACTTCGCCGACGCATCCGACTTCTGCGGCGGAGCCGGAGACGGAATCAGAGTAAACGACGCCGAATCGAAGATCGGATTGGAGGAGTGTGTGCATCATGATACGGTAACGGAACTCGAAGATCTGAAGAGGGAGGATTGCTCCGGGGAAGAGAACAAGTGGGAGCGGAAACAGAGGAAGCTCGACGATGTCATCGGATTTTGGAGATTTCGCGTTGTTGTGATGCTTCTCGGAGAATGAAGAAGATGAACATCGGAAGGAACTGTTGAGCTTACAACGCCGGCGATTATCAAGTGTCGGTGATAGAGATCTAAGGGAGTGAAACGGTGGTTTGGATTTGAAGGAAGGAGATAATGAAGTTGAAGAAGGTGAAGAGACTACGTGTGGAAGCGCCATTACAGGGGAAGAGACGAAGTATTCAGAGTATACAAAAAAAAGGGTTTTATTACATATTTGCCAAAAAAAAATTAAAGATATAATAATTGACATGTCATTATAAACAGATATTTGAGTGATTGTTTGTTTTTGTTGTGGATAATAAACGAGAGGAGAGGAAGAAGAAGTGGATGTGATTCTGAATATCCCACGAGTGAGAGACTTTATATTATCCATCTACATAATTATTTCAGTGCCACGTGCTCTTTTTGATTAGGGAATCACATAACCAAGAAGGAATTAAGAGAATTCTAGAGACAGAATAAAAACTTTTTAGAGAAAAAAGTGTAGAAGTTAGTTGGTAGAGCATTTGGGTGGTGATTACTGATTAGTGTGGTTGATTTTTGTTTATGATCTTTTTCCCCTTCTTATGCGTCCAATTTCCAACCAATTATGTGTGCCAATATCATCACTAAACTGGTCAAAGTATAAGCTTTGTGCTTGTGGTAACTTCATTTCAGGGTTGTGTAATTGTTGATTTGTTAATTTTTTGGTCAACTCAAATATTTTCTTCGTTTAAAATATGAATTAGAATAAGGGCCCATAAAGAAGAGTCCAACTCATTTTATTTGTGATAAAAAAAGGGAACCAATTTTTCGTTTATACATAAAGATTTAAACGAATAAAGGCCCATAAATAAGCCCATGTACAAAATGGCCCATTTTATATGAATAAAGGTTTTGTACTTTGTATCATAAAATTCTAAATCTTAATTTGCTGGAAAAACTTCCAAAAATCTCCACACTTGCAGCCAAATGAAAATTGGTTAAGCGCGAATTCGTTTCACTAGCTAGACTAGATCTGAAAAAGACATTGTAAAGACCAAAAAAATAAAACTATTTTCACAAATTAAAATGAGAACCACTAATCAAATATCAATGGCAGATTAGGAGACCAATAATAGAAGTGTTGTAGGATAAAGACGAGTCCAAGGCACGTGGGCTTTGGAATCGTTTGTCTATGTTGCGACAAAACCATTCTTATGCAAATCCAATCGACATTAATTTACAGAAACAAAACTAATAATCGCTTTCGTAGAAGAACGCATCAGTAGTTTCATCTCCATGTATTGGCCGATAAATGTTAAAAGAATATCTTTGTATAGATAGAGTTTGGAACAAACCATATGCCATGTTTTGTCGTCCCATATATATGTTTTAGTTATTAATATTAGTTTGACGGTTAGACTTTTTAGTTTTATATATTTCATTAAATTATTATTAGTTTTTCTAAATATAGTTGTAAATATATATATGATATTTTGTCATAAATTGTTAAATTTGATTTATTTTTTTTGGTGGGAAAAAATTGTTAAATTTGATAATAGTGCTAGTTTTTTTTTTCTTTTCTTTTTTATACAGAAAATTACTTTTCTGCTAAAATAGTTAAATACTATCTGTACTCCCATCACTTATAGGTTTCGACCACACAACATATAACACACCAACAAACAAACACCTAATATGTAAACAGATTTATTTGTTGGCAGAATATAAAAAGCAAATACAGGGAAAATGTGATCTGTAGCCCAACAAAAAAGCATCATAAAAGTCCGCACTATGATTCAATACATTACGCATAATATTTTTTAAAGCTTTGATTCAAAACTGTGATGTCGATGGAGGCTTTGGGTTTTAGCTTTGGTCCAAAACTTTGAATTTGATCAATAGGGTACATTCCAAACTCTCAATTCACGTCGACAATGAAAAGGGAAAACCAAAAAGAAGCACTAATAGTATTTATGTTTTCTTAGAAAAGATAGCCATAAAATAGAAAAACACAAGGTCCCTTCGCGATGATTGATGACCGTAACAAGATCAAAGCTTCAGAGAATCTTATATAGTTTTCACATTCATAAAACAAAAGTAACAAACATATTTATGCATGCTTACAACTATACTATTCTTATAGATGGACTTAAAGGCGTGTGGCTCTATATATAATTGACCAATTTAAGAAATTCTTGGTTCAAACTAAGTATTTAGAAATATTATCTCAAGATTTGAAGTAGAAGTTTTCCTATACATTGAAAATTCTCTAGGTTTCAAACGTTATATTTTTTTTTATTTTTTTTTTTAACAACACGTATACCTTTCATAAAAGAGAAACCAAGGATTACAAGGGAGCCTTCTAGGGATAAGAAACCTACAGCAAAGAGAACATATTACAATTCTTCTACTGAAAAACAGCAATCGTTATAAATTTTTTTTTTTTTTTTTTTTGTCAAAAATATGCATATGCAAATTTCATTTTGGATGATGACACAATGACGATACCAACAATACGCTGTTTATTTTGGTCTAAACATTACAAAAACTAATTAGTAATTCATCTGTTAGTTAGTGTCTACTGCTTCACCGTATTCTAATTCTAGCTTTGAATGGAGGTAAATTAAAGAAACCAGTAAAGGGTAAACCATATATGTAAATGGTACGTCTCGTCTCTTCAATTATATCAAAGGGTCAAAAATATATTGCCAAATTTGTGGAGAGTATCGTGAAACTTGTGGCTGCACACGGTAACCATTTTTAGGCAGACATAGTGAAGATCTCGAATCAAATCGCTTTGGTTCCGTATCTTCAATGTCCCAATCAAATTACTTTCTTTCATCTTTGCATCACATTTATTATTTCACATCTACCATAGTCCATATTATTATAATTACGAGTAATAAGTTACGTATAGGTAACGTTTAACGTACAAAAGAACGTTAATAACTTAGTCTTAACTTAATCGTATGATGCTGGAAAAAAGAAAAAGAAAAAGTAATATTAACTTATACTCCCAAAGCTTCATTGCTAGGTTGAGTATATGGACCGAAAACTTGGTTTAATTACCGTCTTATGCTTCCTTGTTTTATCTTTTTGCCTTGGAACTATATGTATAGGTTTCAATCTCTTGATTGTAACCTAAACTGTTTTCATATCTATGAAATATTTACAATTTAGCAAAAAAAAAAAAAAACTTATACTCTCCGACCACGAATTGGAAAGGGATAATATAATGTGTGTGGGTAAGTATGTGTCAATGGTTCAATATTTTATGGGTTTTAAAAAATATTCAAAATAAAGTATATTAAGTATTTAAAAATTTAACAAACAACCTGAAATAGTTTATTTCCAAACTAAAATAGAATATTTTTGAAAGCTTTGTTCATATTTTATTAACATGGAAAAAGCTAGAGTAATACTCCAAAATACCATTAAAAACTCTGTCTTCTAGAAATAGAACAATTTTTATTCAAAAAACATGTATTATGAAAATATCAATTTAAGGGATTATACAACAATGAAACTAGCCCCAAAAATTGTTTATTAGTTTGCATTATCCATGAGATGCAAGTAGACTACAAGTCATGGTCAACTAGTTTAAGAAGACTTCCTACTTTAGACTGCAAAAATGTGATATTACGAGAATTTCCTTAATTTTTTTGTTTATCAAGTGATATCCAGAATATGATTCATTCCATATGGTTCATATGGATGTCTTTCGTCTTTTGTGATTACCAAAAGTTTATCACCAAAAATTGTTTGATCGTGTTTAATTATTTATATCTTTCATTTGGATCAAACTTGAGGTGTGTAATGTTTATCACATAAACGTGCCATGAATCCAAAATTTGAACCGTATATTAATTATTAAGTCCTCAAAACGTCTGCATTTCCAATCACCAAAGCATCGTAGATCCGGCATATGCTATGGATATATCATATATGATACAGAGAAATGAGAATCTAATTAATTACAATAAAATGTCTTTTGAAAAAAAAAATAAACAATAACAAAAGAAAAGTTGAGCTGTAAATGAGCATGAAATAAAGGAAAAAAGTGTTGGGAACTCATTTCACTAAGTTGCTCTGTCGCTCTCACTTTTTCAAAAGTCTTAACGAATCTCTTTTACTTCTCAAACATCTCCACTTCTCTCTTTCACGTGATACTAATTATCCACCCATATATGATATATTACTTTCACAACTAAATACCATTGTTAATTTTTATTTTATCTGCGTATCTATTTTTTTTTTTACAATCTGCGTATCTATTAATCTATTATGTATACGTATCTTTTGATGTCTTCATCTATGATATATAATGTTATATGATATTTATATACTTGTGTAATTCAGAGTCGATCTGATCATTGCTTTGCCAGTAAAACTTTGTAATATTTTTTTTTTATTTTTTTCTAATATACCAAATGATAGATAGTTTAGTGGGACAGTTCTCTTCCACTATATATTTCCAATTTTGTTTACTAACATCAGAAAAACATTTTTCCGCAATTTTTCTTTGGTAAATAATTTTTCGGGTAAATTAGGAGAAAATTAAGGTTCTTTTTTTGTTAAAGGAGAAAATTAAGTTAGTCAGGTATTTTACTCATTGGTCAGTTAAATCCTATACTATTATTTGGGGAGTACACTTTATAAGATACCCTTAACTAACCTTTCCTTTTGTAAGAATTTACTTAAGAATGCCATTAGAAATAAAATTTTATAGAGTAAATTAATTCAACTCATTAAGGATAAACAAGTCAAATACTATTTTATGCAATTTAATTAATTTAATTTAATTATAAAAACGAAAATCTATTATTAATTTTTTTAAAAAGAATGACCAATCAAAATGAACATATAAGATTTGATATCTAACTTATCACATTAATTTGTTATTAATCATGATACTTCACCTCTCATCTTTATATTATTCTATTTCTATAAAATAAATAAATTATTATATCATCTACATAATAAAATAAAAAGTAAAATTTTTCCGCATATACAAAGATTTGAATTTTTAAAAACGAATATAAATTGTTCAATGTATAAAAGAACAAATTTAACGGGTCAAAAAATCATATTTGAGTAATATATTTCTTTTTTAATATCATCAATACTTAATAGATCTAAAAGTTAAGAAATATAAATACTCTAATTTGATTTTTTGAAACAAATATTTATAATAGGCGGCGGGTTAAATATAATG